TATCAATCTTCGTTTGACATGCAAACCAGTCATTGATCGTTTAACAACTTGAGGTGATATCACCCCGCTTCCCGTGCAGCCAAGTGTCGCATGGGGTGAGGAGCGCTTGGACTGGGGGAGGCCTAGGAAGGCGTCACATTGGACCCCTAGGAGGGTGAATGCCAACGATCAACACGAATGGAATATGGCACCGATGGGTTGCCAAGACAGGCTGGTAAATTGCTCCAACACCCGGCGGTAGCCGAGATACGATTGAAGTGGTCTGGCAATAAACAACCAGGGACTGGTAGTATCTCTTCTCTGCCATGGAAGCGTTGCATAGCATCACGAGGCCGAATTGCCTGAAACTACGTAGCAATTGCATGATGGCAAGCGTACTCCTTGGAAAATCAGGCTCCACCTTTGCCAAGGTGCTCGACTGGGTAAAAGTCGCTGTGCCATCCTCGAGTCAAAACGTCAACAAAGAATGAGTCGAGTGCCTGAATGCTTGTAATCATTGTAATCACAACCTTGCGCAGGACTCAAAGTGCAAGAGAACATGGCCCACATTGATGCTACGGACGTTGAATGGAGCTGCTGCCACCTTGCTTGTAACATGTGCAAGAAACCAGGTTTTTTTTCATGGTGGATATCATTTTATCACCATCCAAGAGTTGCAAGCCTCCCGGCAAAGCCCCGCCTGCCGATGAGGCCACCTGCAGCAGCGCAAAGCTCCGCGAGGTTGAAGTTGGTGCACTTAAAGGTGTGCTTCTTGTTGTGAACATGCTCTGAAACCGCTGAACGCATAGCAGGTTCAGCAAGGCTCGGCTGGGCATTTCAAAACACAAGCCTGGCAGGAACATCTCGTGGCGACTGCTGTTGATCACCCGAGTACTGCTTCTCATAACTCGCCTTGAGACTTGTAAGGAGTTGAGGCCAGGTGGTTGGCTTCCTTTTGGTTTCCCAAAAATGCGGATGCACCAAGGTGAGAAGCCCATCATCCCCCCCGCCCCGACTTTCCAATTCCCGATGTGCTGCCCAGCAGCTGGGCGTGTCGGCGCCACTGGGTGGAGAGGCGGCACCTACCGTCCGGAGGCGGGGGCCATGAAACGGATCGGATGCTGCCCAATTGCATCGATACCGTATGTCCACATATATGTATAATATACATATGTATACATTTAATATACATATATATATTGGTATACTCGTGCCTCTATGGAGATAATGTAGCCATATGTAGCCATATCGGGTAAATGTCACCTGTGCATACCTCAGGCATATAGTCTGCCCACGCAGCCCAGGCTGGCCCAATTCAATGACTGCTTCATGTCATTGAGAGGCATTCCTGGAAGCACGCTTGCCAGAGGCGCAGATCTGCGCCAGGACGCTGATATGGCAGGTCAAGGGTTGGTTTTGGCACTGCCCCAGAAAAGACGCCAAACGCGTGAAGGTCTGTACATGAAGGGGGGGGGTTCAAGGCGGAGCTTGCGACTGCAGGGTCCGAGCAGCGTTCCAAAGGCGATCCGATGAATTGTGACAAGTGGGCTCCCTATACGCAGGCAACTCCATTCTGAGGCAACCAACCACAAGCCCCATCCAAACGTCCGCACCTCCTGATAGCAGGCGCCGCAATGCAGGCGTACGGCTGCCGCTGTCGCGACTCCGCCGCAGCTGCCCCTGACCGGGAGGGGTGCGAGTTTAAGGCAATAAAACACGTCATCACTCTGCGAAACAAACATCAGGCTTCTTATGGACGAATTGCATACCTCCGCCTGTACAGCCTGAATGGGAGCGGGTGATATCCGTGTTGCAACTGGCAAACGCAAATTACGAGGCAAAATGGTTGTTCCAAAATGTGCGAATACATGCGTGCATGAGTGGTCATGCGTGTTAATGCTTGCTTGTGACTGTGAGTGTGTCTGCGTCTGCTTGTGTGCGCTCCCCTGAACGTGCCTGGTTACCGACTCGTTTCGGTGCGGTTCTGTGCAACAATCAATGATCAACCAGCGCAAGCAAGGAAAGGTCAGAAACACCAGGCAGGGAGATGTGGAGCGACTCCCCGGTACTACAGGAATCACCAAGCAACGAGAATCGTTGAGATGTTCTGACTGCAAATCTAATTGCATGTGCATGCAATGCTAAGACTCATCACCAGTACACGTCACAGGTTCAAAGCTCAAGGTGCTTCATGTTGCCTACCCATCGACTGTCTGAAGTCACTGCCTACCAGACAGTGCGGCACGAATCTCGCACCACACATTCCGTTGCACATTTGCAAGCATCGATGGCAACTGCCAATGGACATGGGACTCTGCCTCCTTCATCATCTGCTCCCTCGTCATGGATTTGCCATTTGGGCACCTCAAGGCACTCTGCAACATCCTGTCTACGCTGGCAAATGCTGAAGCTGCACCACGCAATGAATTCCAACCTTTGCAGAACATGCAACCCTCCCTTCTCGCACCTTGGTCCAAGCTCAGCAAAGTCCTTCTTTCGACGCGCCTCACCTGCGCAGTGCAGAAGGGGCCATTGTGATGGAGTTGCATAGCGTCAGACTTGCTCAATGCAGTGCACACTTGATTTCAGTAATCATTTGCAGGGGTGTGTAAAAATATACTTTATAGAGGCCACCAATATTGATTGTATCCCAACTTGGAAGTGTGATGAGACTGTGGTGAGGAACTCCAGAGCGTGAAAATCGACCGCTGCTCACACATACGCATGTGTATATATATATGTATACATAATACATCATACACCTGCATGCACGCCAAAATCCGGGGCCACGCTCCATGGCGATGCTCACGTTACTTGCTGAATTTCAAAGTCGCGCTTCACTGCACAACTTTGCGGGGCTTCCTCCTTTCTACCCCCAGGCCTTGGTTTGGTCCCAGGCTGTGGCTTGGGGTCCTATTCCCCGGAAGTGTGGGTGTCTTGTCATCCGGCGGAACAAAAATAATGAAAAGAAACCAGAGCTTTTCATGACAAAGTGATTTCTTTGAAGGAGCCTGTTGAGGTTGCCTTGGTGGCAACCTGGAGAACAAGGGCAACCAAAGGAGAACCACTCACGGCGTTCCGTCTGTTCGGAATCGGGGTAAAAACACACCTGCAGCAATGGTGCCTTATGATATCTTATGATTCACACCTTTCAATGTCATTTCAAGTCTTGGCAAGTTACAACTTGCTTTTGATATTTCGAATCATCGCAGCGACCCTGGTGCCGCTACTTCCCAGTGTCTAGTTATAGTTCTAAGAACAACAGGAAACTCCACCCCCTTAAACCTGAGACCCCAAACGGGCGCGGTCTCACGCAATCAATGCACATTGGCCTGCCCGTCCTTCCCATGGTCCCTGCCTGGGCGTTTCGGCTTGGAGGCCGGGCCTCAGCGCTGACTCTCAATTGCCTACTCGATTGACCCGGTTTCTCATCTGTCGCGTTGACACGTATGAAGCGTCTGATCTTACGCAAACGCGCGTTTCAACGGCATAAGGTCCAGCCCCACTTGGTTCCAGCCATTGCTGAGCTTCAACTTGCCTTTCAAAGCTGATTTGGGGCTGCCAAGCCCCAAGCAACATAGCTAGCTCCAGGGCCGATACTCATCCACCCATCATTGGTTTCCACTGGCGCTGGAGGGAAGAATCATTAGAGGGAAGGATGGCAATTCATCATGTTGTACGGTTTGCTGCTTGACAAAGAAATGGCAACTCCCCTGATGATTCTGGCAGGGCTTCGCTCCGAGACTGCAAAAGCTGACTCGCAGTGCTGTCCTTCTTCTTTGTCTTCTTCTAAAAGCCATGTCTTGCACTCCAGATTGGCTGGAGAAAAACACATTTTAAACCTCCTATGCCAATTTGTTTTCATTGCTGTGGCTAGCGGCAGTCTGAATGAGACCGTTGCCCCACACCCAATGTACTACACCAGGGCCGTAGGCCCACACGCGCACACAGGGTCACCTACCCCTTCAGGGCACGTGGCCCACGCACAGGCACAAGAAAGGAAATCTCGCAGCACTTTGGGGCCATCTGGATGCGAGCTCGAACAAACGCTAAGATGGAAAAAAAATCCAAGCGTTGTGATTCAACTGAACAGTCTTGCCTGTCTTTGGCGCAACTTGCGCTGGACTTGCGCCTTCCTTGCACGGCCATGTTTGCTCGGCTAGTCCTCCATCATGCTGATCTTCTATTTCCAAAACGGCGGTTCAGCGAATTTGACGGGTCAAACCAAATTGGGATCATCCTTATGCAAACACGTACAACGGGGTTCTGGTTCCACTCCCATGGGTGTGCATCTTGATTGGTTACCCTTTGGTGGACGTCCATTACATGGGGATTTATGTCTACCAACCAATTTGAGAGTCGTTTTACCCTGAGAAGGCACTGGCAAAATTAACCAGTGGTTCCAAGCTCCGTTCCGAGCTGCTCTCGAGTGGCCAGCCGCCCCCGAAGTTCCGCACGCGTGAAGGCGTGCCAACGGCAGCGCCTGCGAGGGGCGGCCTGGCAGGAGGACTCAAGAAGACCCGCTGCTAAGGGGTGCATCATCTGAGAAGTGACTCAATGACTCAACCAGGTTCCAAATGAAATTGACACGAATAAGAATTATCTGATGGAAAAGAAAGGCAAGGAACGGAAAGAAGAGCATCTGGGATCTGCTCAAAGTCAAACATAGCTTTGTACCAGCTTGCACGAAACACACACACAACCAAAAAAGATGAAACAACCAGGCTAAGCGGTGCGGAGCTAAAAGATATCAGGGAGCTGCCCAAGATCACACCAACGCAGGATTGAGTGCAACCACCTCTCCTAGCTTCTTGTGACTTTACTCAAAGGAATCAGAAGAAACAGAGCTGGCATGGGCTGACACCAGTTTACTCCTGTTTTTGCTTTTTCCCTCCGCCTCTGCAAAGCTGCGCTGGGCAACGCTGGCGAGGGCGGCTTGGAGGCCTCATGCGCAGGGGTGAGCAGCAGCGGGGTGCCAGTACGCTGAACAAAAAATGAAATGGTGCGTCGATGTTCTGGTGCAGCGAAGGATGTGGCACGGTGACACGGAATTCGGAGGATTGTGGAGTGTTATGCAGCCTGTGCAGAGTGAAATAATTGAGGTGAGCTCACTGTGCGACAGCCCCACCTCTGGCTCAGGAGTGTGGATGGACAGCGACAAGGAGGGCTCCGCTAGGAGATCCTCGAAACCGTCGCCGCTTTCTATGCGCCGAGGGAGTATGCTGAAAAAACAACAAGCAGATCCGGACGGGCCAAGATCCCAAGACTTGAGCAAATGTGCTTCCATCGCGAAAGTTTGCCTAGCATCCGTGCTCTGGTGGCCACAGTGGGATTAAATGCAACCCTGGCTCAGCCTAAGTCTGGCTTCCCCGTCCTCAGGGCAGGTGCGGCTGGCTCTGCGAAGTTCCAGGCCACCGTCAGACTGCGAAAAGGTTTCCGCCAGCAGGTCCTACATTGCAAACGTGCGTGACTGACAGCTGTTCAGCTAGTTGCATGTGCCAATGAATCGCTGAAACTTCGGTTCAACATACATCCACCAACTTGAATCCGAAGCTTGAATGGACCTTCCACTCACATCTTCCGTGCTCTTCCCCTTGCCGCCTATTCCCTCTTCAAACAAGCTTGCCAGCAGCTTCCCGAGTTTGCGGGAGCTCTTCCACGTGCTCTAACGAGCTGCGCTGCTCAGTCGGGCTTATCTTCGTCCCCCTGTAATTGGCTGAATTGGAATCGTTTCTCAGCCTTTGAATCAAGCTATCTGAATGTGCTGTGTTTTGCTACTGTACCTGCTGGTTTGCTTGGTTCGGCTGGGAAACTTCAGAAACGAATCCTCCATGATAGGACGCTCATTGGCCCACTTTCATTTGTGCAGAATGTTCTCGGCGGGGCCATTGATCACGCCCACTGAAAACCCCCCGAGATTCAGAGCATCTTGGACACACCAACTGTGTGGATTTTGTCTCGTGTCTCTAAATGGAGGACTCCCCAAATTTGTTGGTGGGTTCCGTTTTGTTTATTGTGCTGTTTGGCAGAGTTGACACCACACTAAAACAGGCACAACGTACTGCTTTTCCACCCTGCATGCTTGTGTGTGTGTGTGTTACGTGTGTGTGTGTGTGTCGTGTGTGTGTGTGTGTGCGTGTTGTGTGTGTGTGTGTGTGGTCTGAGTCTGTGTGTGCGTTGTGTGTGTGTGTGGTCTGTTTGTGTGTGTGTTGTGTGTGTGTGTGGTCTGAGTCTGTGTGTGCGTTGTGTGTGTGGTCTGTGTGTGTGTTGTGTGTGTCTGTCCTGTGTCTGTCTTGTGTGTGTGTTCCGCGTGTGTGTGTGCTGTGCTCTCTGTGTGTGTTGCGTCGAGCAACGGCTTTTATTTGTTGCATGGCATAATGGACGGGTGTTCCTGACTAGTTGTCCAACCCCGCACTCGGTCGCAGCCCCCTATCTCGGTTTCCAACACCGCGCTCGTTTTTATCTGGCTCAACTTTCTGTAGAGCTTGAAGAAGAGGAGCTTAAAGAAGTAAACAAGCTTTGGTTAGCTTGCCGCCTCCTTTGTCTCCTTCGTTGTTGCCGCACAACCTTTCGCTAAGCAAACTGCTGCTACACAATTTTTGCTGAAAAGTAATACTTGAGAGGAGGAACTGGGCCAATACTCACTTGGACGCTGTAGGGGACTCGTTCTGAACTCGTTTTGAACTCGTTTTGGAACTCGTTTTAACATGGCCCGCTTTTGGACGGCTGAAAATTGCCCACGGGCAAATCTTGAACAAACCAGCTACGCTGCTTCTTCGCAAGTTTGCTTCACACCCTTTTGCAGTTAGGCGTCGTAGGGTTGGCCAGTACTTGCCCCGGAAAGTCTGTGGTAAGTTGCCACAGACCATGCGACGTAGGTCGTCTACTCTACACTACATCTAACAACCTTGAACCCAAGACGCTCTGCCAGGCTGCACTTGCCAAAATGTCATCCTAATCCATGTTATCATGCTTGTTTGCCCTATCTCGTTTTCGGGGTGTTCCCCAACTCGTTCTGCGGCTAAATATGCACATTTCCAAAAAATAGTTCCAGCCCCTTGCATGTTTCCATTAACGTAAATAAAGTTAGTCGCTCTTGTGTTCTATTGTGTTGCGTGGTGTTGTACATATATATATATATACAACAGGTCCCCTGATCAAAGTGGCGCCTGTACCCCAGAGATGGGCACAGGGGAGAATCTGGGGTGTGATCGTTTGGCAACAGCTCCAGAAGAATAGGTTGCACTCAGCCCGAACAGCTGATGTCTCTCGGCATCTGCTGGGCTTGTCTGGGCCTATTCTACACCAGGGTCGAGGATGGCCTGTACTGTTTTGCTCGTAGGGTCCGCTGTCATCTTGCAAGTACGGACTTCCCACCAGTCCTCTGGACATGTACAGCTGCCGATAAAATCCGCAGACAAAGACTGCGAGTTCTCTTCCAACTCCTGCCGCAAAGGACAGTGTTGCAACATGATGGCAGCAGAACATGAATAGATCCACACTGACACATGCGAGTGTCAGCTAGCGGAAAACTCTGCTGAAATGCTTGATCCATGCAAACTCTCGGGTGTGCCGAGTACAACCTATCCTCGCATTGAGCCAGGCTAGGCGTGGTAAGAAGGAAGAATGCCAAGGGGGAGAGAGCCATTCTTGTCCGCTTTCATTCTCGGGGGGAAAGCACCCTTCGCTTTATCATACGTCACTGTAAGATGAGGATCCTACGAAGGAAGGTTCCACGGCAAGCTCACGACAACCGTCATGAGCATGCGTACTGCTATCTCAGCGACCTGGCCCTCTGAATGTATTCTCTTGTGTATCTTAAAAATCCAACCACATTCCATTGTGGCGTCAATGAACTCACAAATAGGAAGGCTTCCTAACATCCGGTCTGACATGTCCGAAGCCGCCGCTTTCTCCTCCTGAGCCTTCTGGGCCTCCTGCGATGTTTGTGCCTCCTGAGCGGTCGGCGCTTCGTGCTCCGTCGTTGACCTGCCTTGGGCCAGCAGCTAACCGAAGACTCTCCAAGGTTTTTTGGTCAAAGTCGAAATGGCCGGGCAGTTCCTTTTTGTGGGTCTTCGAAAGAATTGATTGACGGCTGCGCGGAACAAAGAAGAGACACAAACCTACACCCACGCAATGGCCATGGTGGGATTGTAGCCAGAACGGCGTGTCAGCACCGAGATCAACGTTGAGCCTCAACTTCAAGGATACATTATGGACATCACAAGCAGCATGGGCTGTACATGTAATCATGCTTGGGCATGAGCACCACGTCAAACAAACGGCCACAGTCGCATGAACAGCGTCAGCAACATCCAGCAACATCACCACTCACTAAACCTGATAGATAGAAGCCCCGAACCCGAATGCAAACTATCTATCCTACCTCCACCTGCCTACCTAACGATCTACCTGATCTAATCCAATCTGGTTCTAGCTATGAATCTGTCCATCTCGTCTAATCTGTCATGTCTGTCCGTCTATCGACCTACCTATTTCCCCAACTTATCTATCCATCCACCAACCTAATCTAATCTAGTCTAGCCTCACCTAATCTATCTCTTCCAATGGTCCAACCATCCTTCTACCTCTCTATCTACATTGCTGTCTACATATCTATCTATAAAAAGCGATCTGTCGATCTATCTATCTGTCTATCTATCAATCAAACTGTCTATCTATCTTCTCTCTTTCTCCCTCTCTCATTTTCGGCGCGGCAGATACTGAGAGATGGTAGAGGTTTCCCCCCTAGACACATAAGGTTTGGGGCGGGCGCCATGCGGCATGTGTCGCACGACCGACAACTTGTTCCACTGAAAGTATTCGGGGAGCTCATGTAAAGAAACAGTGGTCGCAGGCTCGAACGCCGCTGCCTGCCGGCTCCCTGTCCGCTCAAGGGAAATGACGTGGACATACAAAGGCAATGACAGGGAATGTCATGTGCAGATTTCGTGGCAAGACGGGGCCAACCCAAATGACCCAAGACACCTCAAAACGATCGCCTCTGAGACGCAATCACTGTGACAAGGTGACGCGAACGGGCAACCTTCCAAGACACTGCGCCTGGCGCAGTGAAACGACACGCAACGTCGCAAAAGCTACCATTCGATTTGCGCGAGGGCGCAGCGAAAGAAATGGACGCGGCACACAACGGCAAATTGTGAGCCTTCCCCAACAGCACGGCAGCCTTTGCCACCTCCGACCTTGCAACACTGGCGGACGCTTGCGGACGCTACGACGCATCTGGCGAACACATGCTGACCCCCAAGCCCTTTCTATAACCCAATGTTTTTTGCCACGCGTTCGGGAAAAACTGCAGAAGCTGCCGTAGCGACAGTAGCAGCTCAAGCAGAAGCAGCAGCACGGCGGAAGCATGAGCAACGCTGAAGCAGAACTACTTGGGAACAACGCCACTGGGCGCTTGGTGCGTTCTTCTCTGTAATTTCACGCAATCCTGGCAAAAATGGCTTCGGCAAAACCTACTTTCTCAACACATTTCAAGGCTGTAAGTATGTTTGGAGAAAGCTTCGGCTAACCTCTGCAAAAGCGCATGCTGGCTTGAACTTCTTCATGGACGTTCGGAACACCCACCGGTAGCACCTTTGGCGCAAGCCGTGGTTCAACTTGCCATACACACCACGAAACAGCTGGCTCGAGAGAAACATTTTCAACAACTTCCAGTCAGCATCGAGGCATTGAGTGCTACCCTTTTTAGGGAGGCGTCCAAGCTTTGGATCGCCTTTGGCTGAAGAGTTCACCTGCGTGAGTGCGTGCGCGTGCGCGAGCGCGAGCGCGTGCGCGTGTGCGTGTGCGTGTGGGCGTGGGTGGGGCGCGTGCACGTGTGCGTGTGCGTGTGCGTGTCTGTGTCCTGTCTCTGCCTGTGCCTGTGCCTGTGTCTGTGCCTGTGCCTGTGTCTGTGCCTGTGCCTGTGTCTGTGCCTGCGCCTGTGTCTGTGCCTGTGTCTGCGTCTGTGCCTGTGCCCAGGTGCCTGCGTCCGTGTCTGTGTCTGTGTCTGTGTCTGTGTGCGCGTGTGTCTGTCTGTGCGTCTGCGTCTGTGTGCGTCTGTGTGCGTCTGTGTGCGTCTGTGTGCGTCTGTGTGCGTCTGTGTGTGTGTGTGTGTGTGTGTGTGTGTGTGTGTGTGTGTGTGTGTGTGTGTGTGTGTGCATGTGTGCGCGCACTCATCATGGCCTAGCACACCACCCCCCCTTGCCTGAAAAAACTTGAAAACTGCTAGGCGACTGGCAGCGCTGTTGGCAACTAGAGCAATGTCCCACCAGCAGCCTAAAATCTGTGCAGTTGCATGTGGGGTACAGGCACATTCCTCCGATCTGAACGGCATATGATGCAGCTTTGGACGACGAACAAAACATATATATGCCCCCCATGGCTAGTCACAGTTGCCTGACTCCTCCCACTCATGGCCAGGTCGCTTTTCTTTTTCTTCTTCTTCTTCTCCCGGCCAAGAAGCAGCGCCAGTTCCGAGGCATCGGCGACATCCTTAGAGCCATGATCACGGCGCTGAGCCTGGCACATGTGTTTTCACAGGGTACATTTCTGGATCTTTCGGAGGGAAGCCCAAAGGAAGCAGCATTTGGGGGGTCCCTCTCTCAAGACCACCCTCATGGTGTTTTTGCCGGTGTCCAACATGTCAAGCCTTCCTTGCGCATTGGATATATGTAATCAGTGCGCGCGATAGGATGCAGGATGCCAAAGCAAGTTTGGCCTGCATCTAGCAACATGCTAAGGTGGCTGCACAAGCAAATGGCTGGTACCAGTGTAACTCCCGCGTTCGCCCAACAGAAGTAAATTGAGCAGGTGACGGGAAGGCACGTCATGCAGCTCACACACGGGCGACGGAAACAAAAACATGACCTTCTGCGAGCAAGGCCTGCCAATATCCTTTACAATTCTGGACACGATGCCATCGCAACCATCTCAGGGCCTGGCTCCGTTCATGGGAGAAACATGTTGTCCATCGAACCTCCCAAACTTGATATTTTTCTACAAGTGATCAACTTCAACTTCCATTGCGTCAACCTCAGGTTCGCAAAAAGCAGGGTATATATGTGGGACCGCAGAGCCAACTTCCCACCATGAGCCACCCACTCGAACCCGCAAGACACCAAGCCGCCAGGACCTGCGCCCGGAATTCCTCCGGGAGCTCCTGCAAGCAAAGCGCCCAGGGGCCCCCGAGGTATCCGGCTGCTGACAATGCCGAGGTTCATTGAAAACTGCTTTGCCGAACTAGAAAACACAGCTCAAAATTTGTGGATCACGCAAGCTAGCATGGTGCCAAACATCGCCAAGAATGAAACCCCTCAAGCGTCTCTCAGCACATAGTGCTGAAACCATTTTGAACAATGCGCTAGGCAATTCTGAACTGCAAGTAGCGAGCCCTGGTCTCGCGCGGACCTTCAGCAGCTCCAGGACCTTCCTCGAGCCCCGCAGCGCCATGGCCCAGCTCTCGGAGGTGCGAAGGGCCTTGAAGCAGGTCAGCACCTCGGATCTGGCGATTTCCGTGGACCGTTGACGAGGGAAACATGGCTTAGGTGCACCACCCATTTTAGAACCTATTTTAGTGGGGATTGGGATGTTCACTGGGGTACGGGATTTAGTGGCCTCTGGATGTCCACCCACCCCAAAATGGAGCTATAGGTTATGTTATGCCCCATGGCCACATAGGGAAACCCAACGACAAAGACCAGGATGGCGCCCATGGACGTTGGCTGAAGGATGTTGAAACATACGGAAACCTAGTGATGATCAGCACCTCGGATTGGGAAACCCAAAGGGAAACACCAGGATGTTGGGGATAACTCGTGGTGCCAAGTTACACACTAGCAACGTACTGCTCTGCTTAAAAGTGCCGATATCCGGGCATGGTCTTCAAGTGATTGGTGTTTCTTGCTCCCTTTAGGTTTGCATTGGCGTCTCAAACCCTTCCGCGAAACCTTCCGCGAGCATTATTCTATATAAGTTTGTATAAGCGCTTCCGCGGGCCTTCCACAGGCAAGTTACTTCTAGAAACTGAGAAAGGTAGCTTCCGCGAGGGAATTCGTGTGCACGGCTTGCATCACCCGACCGAAATCAAACTAATTACTGTGCAAAACAACAAGGTCCCTTCTCCGCGGGGGGGAAAAAAACTTCCGCAAACCTTCCGCGACTGCAGTGCGGCGCTACCCTTTTTGTTGATATGTCAACATCTTATTTTGCTTCTCCCTTCTGAAGACTTGCCAAGCCACGCTCTCCTGTCGCCGCTCTGATCGTGAGCCCAAAGTCAAAAGGAAAATAAAGGCGCTCTCGATCTGGAGGTTGCCTCAGCTGAAAGACAGGTAGATCACTCGAGGACTGGCACACTGCGTAAGGCAAGCTTCTCTGCTGTGGGGCAGGCAAACAATACAAACAAAAACAAGGGTTCCTGGGCAAGGGCACAGAGCCTCTGGGCACAGAGCCTCTCAGGCAAGCAATACAGCAAGGGACATGAATCATTTGCATGCATAGTTTGACTCCATCAGAAAACCCAAATCGAATTCAATATGGCCACCAAATGAATCCCGGATCCTGCAAGGCAAGAATCCCTTCAGGTCGCCTCAAACTGAAAGCCGGGGCAAACGAACAAGCTTCACAGATACCCCCACCCCTCCGCAAATCGATGACAGAGGTGTTGTCAATGTTAGAGAGGAACGCCGAAAACTCCGAGCGCTGAACACCATGGGCGCTTTTGATTTTTGGTGATACCTTCAGGTGAGATATGGTGAGATTTTGGTTGTGGCCCCGCCACCGCAAAATGCGCCCCCGAATCAAGCCTCGTTCTGCTTAAAGCGGGGAGAGGCCAAGTCTAGTGCCTTCCTTGAGTCTATTGGAATCACTGCAAGCCAAATCCAAGTCTGCGGACAGAAATGTCTAACCATGTCGACCAATCCTCGCAATTGCCTATTGTTCAGTTGGCTCTGACATTTGCCATTACGTTGGAGTGAAGCGAAGAATCTCCAATGCCAGTCTCCATGCGACACAGGGCACCAGATTCTTGAACCCAAATTCGGACCCTCCACGAGAACATGTCAGCCATGCTTCGACGAACCCGCTCAAGAAGATGGCGCCAAGCAGAACCACAGCTCCCACTCAAAATCGTAGCTACAGGAATTTCTACAAGAAATTGACCGAATACCCACCAAAAGCAAGGATTCCCAGCAGAACTTCCTGTAGCTGAATTTCTTAGTCAGGCTGCCAAATATCGGAGCCTCCAAGCATCCCGTGGTGATGCAGTCTACGAGTCCCCGTCCTGGCAATGAGCACGGATAGGTTCGGCACGTTCGCCGCACATCTATATCAAATCCGCACCCTTAAGGCAACCTGGTGGGGAATCCCCAAATAATCAGCTGGTACAGGTGCAGTTTGGGCCAAGGGCGATTCAAAAGGCTATGAGTGGCGCGGTTGTCGTACACAATTCAACCCCTTTGGCGAACAAATGGAAAGCTCAGTCTTCCAGCCTTCCGCGCCATTATTAAGTTGCAAGCTTGCACCCAATCTAAGCAGTCCTGTGAAGATGGCAATGAGAGAAGCTAGGCTTGCCAGCCACATGTGGCCCTTGACAATACTTCTTGTTGGCCCTCTGCAAATAACAGTGGACAAATTACCCTCCGGTCCACTAACATGGAAATCACCAGGGGTCCCTTCTAAAGGAAAATGCTCTTCCAGGGCCCCGTGGATGGGAGGTTCCAGCGAGCCCATGGAAGACACACGCCGGGGCAGCGCAGCAGTCCGAAAACCTCACGTCGCTCGCCAGCCCAAGCCTGGCGCGGGCTCTCCGTTGCGATGTGGGCTTCCACGCCCAGTACGACACATGTTGACATATGGGTGTCCTTTCCTAGGGGCCCGCTACAATATGATGGAATGTCCGTTGGGCTGCCATTTAAAACCACCCAAGTTGGGGAACCCCCCAAAAAAAGACAGACCTAAATATACGAGTGATGCGAGGACCTGCAAGCAGAGCACTGGCTTGGGCGTGAATCTTAAAGGTGCCTCTGCCTCGAGGCTCCAAGAACATACGCCCTGGCAAAGCTGGAAAGTTGACATGGCTGCCGTTGCGGCAAGGCAGCATCCTAGACAAGCGCAAAGACCATGGGAGCTGCTCACTTGGAGGATTGACATGAACGCACATCGCGTATATCGAAATACTTGCACCTATGGTCATTGAACTATTTGCAGGAAACACTGAACCTTGAACTGGACCTGTATGAATCTGCTTTAGCCACAAGGCCCTGGTCAAATAAACATCACGATGCGTCACAAGTTGTTCGGTCGGTCTCTACCAGGCATGAACTCACAACGAGTCAGAGTCCCTAGTTTGACATGTGTGGGTGCGTGTTTTGTGGGATATTGACCGTATCTTTTCGTTGGATGCTTCCCCCATTTTGACACAAGCGGTGCCTCCTCATCGCTGAGCAGCACGGGTATCCGTGCCAAGCTGTCAAGCAGCCTGGAAACCGAACATCCGCGAGTGGTAAACTCCGCTTCGGGGACAATCTCAACCATGGGTGTTTCTCCTGTCGGGGCCCCAAAGAATGGTTGAGGTTCTTTGAGCTTTATTTCAATTCCCACCAAAAAGGGGCACTCAACTTGTTTCTGAACAGTGGTTTTCTAGTGGCTTCCCTTTGAAGCAACTTGCAAGGACGCTTACAAAGTGCAAGCTTGCTGAATCCCCAATTAGCTCGCTGTTGTAGAGAAATGGATCGTGTTTCTTCCCGAAAGCCCAAAAGGCGGTTGAGAAACGTGTTCCGAGCGTGCGCAAGAGGCAGCAAGTATGGGCGTGCTCAATTCCGCCTGACAACCAGCATTACTAGATCAGCTTGCCCGCAGTTGTATCCTCTTGCGAATCTAGCTAAGTGCATAAATGCCGTGCTGCAAGCAGCTCAACCCTGAAAGCCAGTGACTGGTTCACACGCAAAAACATGCCTGGTGAGGTGAGCAAACGCTTCGTAGTCCGGGCCTCTGCGACTTGGAGTGAGCCTGGCGGACATGGCTCGCGCCGAACAGCACTCGCCATGGGCTCCCGTGCCTTCTGTTTTTAATGTCTCGCCCGAGGCGAGACCGGAAAGCCGAGGTGCAGCAAGAATTCGAGTGGAAACAATTGGAAAGCAACAACTTCGGCATGGCGACATGCAAGCACATGCAAGCCAGCGGCCTTCATGTTCGGGTTGAGACAAAATCGAGTCTAAGCACGAGCAACCAAACAAAGTCCTGTGAATGCAACAAGCTAAGACTCTAGCAGCGCGCCACAGCTCTCACCGGGTGTTTGCCTGGGCCAAGGACCTGAAACATGTGCTGAAAAGTCCCCTGTGCTCGCGTTCGTCGAATAACGCAGCTGGCCCTGTGGCGCGTGTTTGGAAGGTCAAGGCCCTTCACGGCTCAAAGTGGCCCCTTGGTTTCGCGATTCGCCTGGCTCCAAATCGCTTTATAACACCTACCCGCCAGGAACGCCGTGACAGTGGTCTCAAACGCATTCAACCGTCAACGTGTGTGTGTGTGTGGTCATATCTACAGTGTTGTATATGTGTTAGAATGTGTATATAGTTACATATCATATGTTTATGTATCTGTGACAGCGTGTCCATTGTATATGTTTAGATACGTATACACATAGATGCACATGCACCGAAATGTATAATTGTGTGTGCGGGTACAGCACATGCGTAAGCGTATCTGCCTTCTGTGTCATTCAGTTGTTAATGAAGTGCCATAAGAACCATTCAAACAACATGCTCCTACATTGTCCATAATACGCGGTAATAGGTACACACATTCCTATAGTGTAATTTATTGTCAAGGTGTATGATATTATGCCCAGCCACGTGTCCCCGCCTCGCCCAGCTCCTCCAGGCTCATCATGAGATCTGGACCAGGCAGGTCCGGACGGGTGGAGGTGGAGCAAAATAGTCCCCACCCACCCTGGGGGTTTTGTGGATTCCAAAGAAGGCCCTCCGAGGGGACATAATGTTAATCTGCAGAGTAAGATGCAGTCGACATTGTGTTGCCCAACGAGACTACATTGCCGCTGAAACAGCTCAGCCCGACCCAGCTGTTCTTCTCATGCAGTCAGCAAGTGGCTGCAGCATTGCAAGGCACTTGGGGAGATGTCAGCGCCTCTTGGCCTCGTTGGACCCACCCCGCCTCTGCCTGCAAACCCCGGCCACTGGGAGCCAAAAGCCGCGTGCACAACCGCTGGTTGACGAATCCGAGCAAAATGCTCATACAGCTCAGCCCCACAATCCAGTTGCCCTTCATTTGACATTTAAGATTTGACATTCATGTGTGCCAATGATTTTTCAGATGTGGCAAATACCAACCAAATACCCTTGTTGCTTGCATTGGTTACCCTACAGTAGCCTACAGTGGTTGAATTTGGTTTGCAGCCCTCGCATGGGACTAGCATTCCACTCCCAAGTGCCAGGCCAAGATGGCATTAGACCTGGGCTGTGTGAGCTGGAGTTAAAGTAGAAGATGGTCCATAGTGACCTTGTTCCGTGGCAAAGCAACTGAATCTCTGCTACCAGGGATGTGACCATCAATCTGTTGGCAGAAGGAAAACCAAGGGCTCATATTGATTTGCAAGGTCCCAATCCAGCTCGTCTTCATCTGCTCCTTTGCTGCTGTTTCTTAGCATCACAGGATCAGAGCAAGAGCAGCTCGCTTTTCTGTCACAGCGAGTGCGACGGCGGCAACCGCTACTTGAAGCAAGACTTGCACATTTGCAAACCCATCAGGCCCATCATCTACAAACTCATTATAGTTTAAAGTCTCTCCCAAAATAAATGATTATCTTCTACTATCTAGTCCGTGGAAGATGACAATTGACCGTGGCTCCTGCGTCGGGATTTTGTTCGTGCTCCGGTTGCAGCCAGCCACTGCGCCATGGCGTAGCACCGTGTCGGATGCAATGCATTTGATAGCATTTGATAGCCATCCTTGTTCAGTGTTTGGTTAAACACAGCAAAAGGGTACCGCAAATCTGTCTTCAGAGGGCTAGGGCTGATGGAGCGTTGAATCAAGGAAAATGCCCAGAGAGGCAGCGAAATACTTTGGTCACTGCGGCCCGCGGCATGCACCATCAGCATCGCGGGCCATCTCATGATGCCTTGGCAAAACGTCAAAGAAACAACATACGTCCCTTCGTTGCTCGAAGACAATATCACCCGACCGCCCAGCATTTTGCTACACCGCTTGACTTCGAACAACCCGAAACATACCGCGTCTTGCAGGGGAGCTGCAGAAGCCATGTTATTCAGCTCCAGCCCTTGTTCTGCTTCCGGCACTGGTGCTGCGGGCGGCAGGATGGAGTTGCGGACGCCTCACGACAAGAGCCGCTGGGATTGAGCATCAAAAGGGGGAATGGCGACGTGCTGAGAAGACGATTGTTTTGACCAAGATCGGAGCGCTGACAAGGCAGCCAGGCTTGTATGCCATTCCCGGATGACTCTGAGTTCAGATTGCTGGGCTCTCTGAGTACTGGGGGTCCGGGCGCTGTGGAATGTCGTGCTTGTCTGCCTCCTTGTAAATGCAGCGGCAGCAAAGCGCGCAGCTGCAGCAAGCGCCAAGCACCATCCTCGATCCGTGGCCGAGGGTTGGCCAATTCATCAAACAACATGTTCTAGGAATCGGAAGTAACCAGAAAAACGGGGGGCAAGAAATGTGGGGGGGTTCTGATCCTGCCACTCCGTGAGGCCAAAGTTGGACCGCCCTGTTCTAAGCGCAGTAAGCTCCAAGTCACCACTGTCATTTTAGGCCAGAAGCCGTCAGGGAGGAATTTTACGACTGGCTTAATGACTGCTTGAAGGCAAGAAATTTGACAGCACTCAAGAACTTCCGGGTACCTTGTGGTGCCTAACCTGCGGGTATCCCAATTGTTTTGTATTGCTGCTTGACACAGCACAAATCCAGGCAATCGCATTGCAACCGTTTGATGTCGGCCAATACACTGGCGACCCTGCCGAGTAGCATCCCCGTGATCATGGACATGTAGGTCAAGGGTGGCAAGCAAAAGCTACCTGCAGGGCCACCATCCGTCGACCCTGTGGCTAGCTTGATTCTATGCATGGCGTCTATTGGTTACTCATGGAGCAAACAGCAGATTGCTGCTCTGGTTTGCTCTAACAACCAAAGGTCAAGTTCGTGCAGTCATTTTTTGTGCCAACTGTTGGGATGCCATGTCGTCCTGTTTGGCAAGAGGCGGCATGGATTGTGCGATTCTAAATGTCCATCCCTCTGACCTCGCAAATCCGCCGACCCTTTCTCTAAAAAGGGGAGGCGCACGGGAAGGGTAGTTGGCGCATAAGTATATCCAAAGTTTCATCCTCATCAGCATCAGCAGCTGCAGCTACGATAAATGTTATCGTCACGGTCATCGTGATCATCATCATCCTTATCATCATCTCTTTCTTATTCTCTTATCCTTATCATCATTATCATCATGGTTGTCGTCATCTCTTATCAGGCAGCATTTGGGTTGCAGAGGATGCTGCGAGGATCGTTATCAGCACAGCCGTTAGTGATGCTAAGGATGCTACGATGATAGTTATCACCCTTGTCATCATCTTTATCATCATCTGACCATCACCTAGCATCATCTCATATCTTACTATATATAGAAACCAAAAGGGACGTTAGACATCCTTGGCAACGCAAAGGATGCGATGATGATAGTTATCAAGGAACAAGTACTGATGCAGAGGATGTTGTGATGATAGTTGTCATGACGCGGATGATAACGATCCTCACGCCCCCATTCTCATCATGGTCGTCGTCATCTCTCATTAGGCAGCATTGGTGATGCAAAGGATGCTGCGATGATCGTTATCATCACAGCCGTTAGTGATGCTAAGGATGCTACGATGATAGTTATCATCCTTGTCATGATATAAGATGATGCTAGGTGATGATCAGATGATGAGAAAGATGATGACAAGGATGATAACTATCATCGTAGCATCCTTAGCATCACTAACGGCTGTGGTGATAACGATCATCGCAGCATCCTCTGCATCACCAATGCTGCCTGATAAGAGATGACGACGACCATGATGAGAATGGGGGTCATCATCATCATCATCAGCATCATCACGGTGCTTATCATCATCATCTTCTTCGTCATCGTCCTTATCTTTTTTATATACGTTTCAAGTGTCCCGTTAGACCCGATTTGAGATGCAGAAGATGCGCGGACATGATTATCATGATGACTGCTGGTGATGCTGAGGATGCGTCATGATGATTATCATGTCAGTTCATCATCATCATCATCATCATCATCATCATCACGGTGCTCATCATCATCAGCTTCTTCGTCATCGTCCTTATCTTTTTTTATATACGTTTCAAGTGTCCCGTTAGACCCGATTTGGGATGCAGAAGATGCGCGGACATGATTATCATGATGACTGCTGGTGATGCTGAGGATGCGTCATGATGATTATCATGTCAGTTCATCATCATCATCAGCATCATCATCACGGTGCTCATCATCATCATCTTCTTCGTCATCGTCCTTATCTTTGTTATATACGTTTCAAGTGTCCCGTTAGACCCGATTTGAGATGCAGAAGATGCGTGGACATGATTATCATGCTGACTGCTGGTGATGCTGAGGATGCGTCATGATGATTATCATGTCAGTTCATCATCATCATCATCAGCATCATCACGGTGCTTATCACCATCATCTTCTTCGTCATTGTCCTTATCTTTTTTGAATATACGTTTCCAGTGTCCCGTTAGACCCGATTTGAGATGCAGAAGATGCGCGGACATGATTATCATGATGACTGCTGGTGATGCTGAGGATGCGTCATGATGATTATCATGTCAGTTGGTGTTCATCATCATCATCTTCTTCGTCATCGTCCTTATCTTTTTTTATATACGTTTCAAGTGTCCCGTTAGACCCGATTTGAGATGCAGAAGATGCGTGGACATGATTATCATGATGACTGCTGGTGATGCTGAGGATGCGTCATGATGATTATCATGTCAGTTCATCATCATCATCATCATCAGCGTCATGATGATTATCATGTCAGTTGGTGTTCATCATCATCTTCTTCGTCATCGTCCTTATCTTTTTTTATATACGTTTCAAGTGTCCCGTTAGACCCGATTTGAGATGCAGAAGATGCGTGGACATGATTATCATGATGACTGCTGGTGATGCTGAGGATGCGTCATGATGATTATCATGTCAGTTCATCATCATCATCATCATCACGGGTCATCATCATCATCTTTTTGTCATCGTCCTTATCTTTTTTTATATACGTTTCAAGTGTCCCGTTAGACCCGATTTGAGATGCAGAAGATGCGCGGGCATGATTATCATGATGACTGCTGGTGATGCTGAGGATGCGTCATGATATTATCATGTCAGTTCATCATCATCATAATCAGCATCATCATCCCGTTCATCATCATCATCTTCTTCGTCATCGTCCTTATCTTTTTTATATACGTTTCAAGTGTCCCGTTAGACCCGATTTGAGATGCAGAAGATGCGTGGACATGATTATCATGATGACTGCTGGTGATGCTGAGGATGCGTCATGATGATTATCATGTCAGTTCATCATCATCATCATCAGCATCATCACGGTGCTTATCGTCATCATCTTCTTCGTCATTGTCCTTATCTTTTTTAATATACGTTTCAAGTGTCCCGTTAGACCCGAATTGAGATGCAGAAGATGCGCGGACATGATTATCATGATGACTGCTGGTGATGCTGAGGATGCGTCATGATGATTATCATGTCAGTTGGTGTTCATCATCATCATCTTCTTCGTCATCGTCCTTATATTTTTTTATATACGTTTCAAGTGTCCCGTTAGACCCGATTTGAGATGCAGAAGATGCGTCGACATGATTATCATGATGACTGCTGGTGATGCTGAGGATGCGTCATGATGAGTATCATGTCAGTTCATCATCATCATCTCTTCGTCATCGTCCTTATCTTTTTTATATACGTTTCAAGTGTCCCGTTAGACCCGATTTGAGATGCAGAAGATGCGTGGACATGATTATCATGATGACTGCTGGTGATGCTGAGGATGCGTCATGATGATTATCATGTCAGTTCATCATCATCATCATCATCATCACGGTGCTCATCATCATCATCTTCTTCGTCATCGTCCTTATCTTTTTTTATATACGTTTCAAGTGTCCCGTTAGACCCGATTTGAGATGCAGAAGATGCGCGGGCATGATTATCATGATGACTGCTGGTGATGCTGAGGATGCGTCATGATGATTATCATGTCAGTTCATCATCATCATAATCAGCATCATCATCACGGTGCTCATCATCATCATCTTCTTCGTCATCGTCCTTATCTTTTTGTATATACGTTTCAAGTGTCCCGTTAGACCCGATTTGAGATGCAGAAGATGCGTGGACATGATTATCATGATGACTGCTGGTGATGCTGAGGATGCGTCATGATGATTACCATGTAAGTTCATCATCATCATCATCATCATCAGCATCATCACGACGCTTATCATTAATCATCTTCTTCGTCATCGTGCTTATATTTTTTATATACGTTTCAAGTGTCCCGTTATATAGAAATCAAAAGGGACGTTAGACATCCTTGGCAATGCAAAGGATGCGATGATGATAGTTATCAAGGAACAAGTAGTGATGCAGAGGATGTTGTGATGATAGTTTTCATGACGCGGATGATAACGGTCATCACGCCCCCATTCTCATCATGGTCGTCGTCATCTCAGGCAGCATTGGTGATGCAGAGGATGCTGCGATGATCGTTAGCATCACAGCCGTTAGTGATGCTAAGGATCCTACGATGATAGTTATCACCCTTGTCATCATCTTTATCATCATCTGATCATCACCTAGCATCATCTCATATCTTACTATATATAGAAATCAAAAGGGACGTTAGACATCCTTGGCAATGCAAAGGATGCGATGATGATGGTTATCAAGGAACAAGTAGTGATGCAGAGGATGTTGTGATGATAGTTGCCATGATGCGGATGATAACGATCATCAGGCCCGTGCCATTATCATCATGGTCGTCGTCATCTCTTATCAGGCAGCATTGGTGATGCAGAGGGTGCGGCGATGATCGTTATCATCACAGCCGTTAGTGATGCTAAGGATGCTACGATGATAGTTATCATCCTTGTCATCATCTTTATCATCATCTGATCATCACCTAGCATCATCTCATATCTGCCTATATATAGAAGTCAAAAGGGACGTTAGACATCGATGGCAATGCAAAGGATGCGATGATGATAGTTATCAAGGAACAAGTAGTGATGCAGAGGATGTTCAGCTGGATGGGCGCATTCTTGATTCTCCGGTGCGGCATTCGGGAAAGCCAAAGCCACACGGAATATGAGCCGCAGGGCTGTGGCAAAACCACTGATATCACATAGATGGGTCAAGGGGTGTTGGCGCCTCATCTAGGCCAGGCTTTGACATTGTGACATGTTGAAGGGCATGACGGGCAGCTAGATTCAAGCCCTAGAATACCGGCAGATAAGCGAGCACCAGACCTCCAACGAAAAGGCAACCAGCGAAAAAAGCTGCACGCCCCAAAACTTCCAAGACTCCAAAAATTGGTTGCCTCGCCATTAGTAACAAAACACCTAACTGGCAGTTGTCGCTTCCGCGGCCGATGAAGCGCTATCGGCCACCAAAGCATCGCCGAAAGCACTACGACCCACAGCCAAGCAAACGCAGGGCAAACATATATGCGTTGACACACGCGCGCGCACTATATTTTTACGCGGCCCTACGTGTAAATTCCAACTACACAAGAATACAACATGGAACGCCACAACGCTTCCAAGACCCCACAGCACCGACACTTCCACCGCCACCGGCAAACTCTGGCATGCACGCTGGCGCAAGCTCACGGGCGGCTACGATCCCGTGTTCTGCAGCACCACACTTTGCCGACAGGTTGCTTTATGGGCAAACAACGGTCCTGGAGGCAGCACGCATCTGCGCATGACCCAATGT